GAAAACCACTCGGGCTTGCGCTTCACACGTCTCGAGATAAAACACGCCCAGGGTCGCGCGTCACGCATCCTGAGATACACAAAAATAGATGCAAAGAGGAATGAACATGTGCGATAGATACATAAAGTGAAGGTGCAGAAAATGAACAAGTCAATTCAGTGACAACGCATATTCCATGCAAGATAAACAACCGACGTATGATGTTAATTGAAGGCATGTTCTATGTAAGAATCAAAAGCATGTTCTATGCAAGAATCAAAAGCATGTTCTATGCAAGAATCAAAAGCATGTTCTATGCAAGAATCAAAAGCATGTTCTATGCAAGAATCAAAAGCATGTTCTATGCAAGAATCAAAAGCATGTTCTATGCAAGAATCAAAAGCATGTTCTATGCAAGAATCAAAAGCATGTTCTATGCATAAAGTAGGAGCATATTCTATGCAAAATTGACAGCATGTTCTATGCAAGAATCATAAATGATGCAAGACATACATGCAGCATACGTATATGTGAAATGCACATTCGATGCAAAGGAAGAGAACAAAGACGTAATTTGACAAAACGAATAAAATGATATTCGGTGACAAACTCCGATTTACCTCTCGGAGGCATTGCAACATGCTCAAAAAGAATACACCTCGTTCAAATTGGCAAATGGAGAACGTTTGCATGCCGAAACATAGTTGTAAGCTCCCAAAAAAGAACCTTCCATGCACCACTCGAGAAACAGAACCACAGAACAAAACCAAGACACAACTGAGACCACCTGGGGAGGCTGCTGACCACATGCCGGCCACCAGAAACCCTTGCCGGCCACCCGTGGTAGTTCAGAGCAATTTTGACTTTTCGCCTGTGGGTCTTTAAATATACATCAAGACTCCACATTTCCTCACACCCACACATCTGAAATAGCTCTCCCTCTCTCTCTAGGTAATCCTTCTCTCTAGATCCATGCTTTATACGCGCTTTCCAATGCCCCACGCAAACTTTTTTCGTAAAACTCTTTTGATTCTCAGCATTTTGAACCGATCAGATTTTGATTTCGTCGTTTTTTCTTGGATTTTCACCACTCTAGGCTTGTTCCCCTCGAGTTTCTCTCGGGTTTTGTGAACTTTCCCGAGTTTTGACTTTTTCTCCCATTTTCTCTATCTTAGGGTTGACTTTTTCTGAGTTTTCCCTCTTTTCTTCGTTTTTCTTCATTTTTCACCTACTTTTCACCCATTTTCCAGATGGTAGACGATTCACCACATAACGGAGCCCCTCCCGAGGTTCCATCCGTATTTCTATCTGTTCCCGAGACAGATTAGCTGGTCATTGCCAAAGCAACTGGAGGTATTGAGGCTGACCTCGAGGTAGAGTTCGAGCCTAAACCTGAGCCTGAGCCTGAGCCTGAGCCTGAGCCTAAGCCAGAGCCACTACCAGTGAGGGTACGGCCATTTGAGCCGGAGAGGTACCATCCCCGTATACATATCCTGCCACTCGGAGGCATTAGACGCTTTAGCGACGTCGTTCTCGGTGTGTCGAAGGACCTTCTATTGAGGGAGCTGGCTTCTCACCTTTCATCCATCGCCATTGAGGTATGAGCTCGGTTTTCATGCATTTATGCATGTCTTTACTTGCATTTCTTGCACTGTATTTTTGGATTGTACTTTTATTACTCTCTTATCTGATTATATTTGTTCTTTTGCCACGGGGCGAGTCTCGTGCCTTCAAAGGGTACAGAGTTACGTCTGCACGAGATTGGTATGACGAGCTCCCTGCTAGAGTTCACGACATTGCAGATGAGACCGACTTTGGCTTATTCTGCTCTGGCCTGACGCGGGTTATCACGAGCCGTCCTCGTCTAGGTGCACTTGTAGAGAGGTGGTAGGACACCACCAACTCCTTCCACTTTTCCACTACTGCGGAAATGACGATGACTCCCTACGACTTCACCATGATCATTGGCTTAGGAGTAGGGGGCGATCCGATCCCTTTCGATACAGACATTGGGGGGTGAGAGGCGGCCTGGATTGAGCTGCTGGAAGTGCGTCTACCCATATACTAGACATGCATGGTCAGATATAGCTTGCAGTTCAGAGGAAGCGAGCCTGAGACTATAGAGGAAATGGAGCAGTACGCCAGAGGCTATCTGATGTTTATCTTCTACACCACCTTGTTTTCGAACAGGTAGAACACCGTGGGCTTATATCTGCTGAGCGCCATGGTGACCCTTCCTTGGGTGGGCTTCTATGACTGGGGCAGAGTCGGCATTGTCACCCTATATGGATACATGAGCTCTACCTCCCGCATGAGAGGAGAGTTAATTGGAGGCTACTGGCAAGCCTGGGAGGTATGCATTTCAGTTTCCTCTATGCATTTTACATTTTCTGCTTTACATTTTCTATTTTACATCTGTTCAACACCTGTGCTTTCTACTTTGCACTTTTTGCATCTATTCATATTGTATTGATCACATATCATTGCATTTTCTCCGTAGTTGTGGATGTATGCTTATTTTCTAACTCTAGCTCCAAAGCCCATAAATGAGCTCCCACTAGTAGTCCCTTACTCACAGAAGTATGATGGCAGGCACCAGCGTATGACCCGCGAGACCTTCACATTCTTTCATCATTACTTCGACACTGTGGCTGCTCGTGAGGTAACCCGAAACACAGTCATTTTTGCTTTACATTTAGCAACTGACAGCAACTAATAATCTATACAACCTCTATTTGCAGATCATGTGGCAGCCATGGGCTATGATGCCGACTGGGATTCAAGACCAGTACGCCGGGGCCTGGGCCACTTCTTGCTTCCGCATTCTACTTGAGGGCCTAGTCTGCCGGGCCTGGTTCCTGAGTGAGCGGTTCGTCTGCTAGACCGTAGGCTTGCCGGATCCAGTTGTTCCGATGCCACCTCTAGAGTCCATGAGGATAGCAGACAGCCTATCCATTGATGCAGTCACTTAGTTCATGGTGGGCTTGGATGCTGATTACTTCAGAGCAGAGGGCGACTTTTATTCAAACCCACCTCATGCAACCTCTGATAGGCGCTCACGGAGGCGAGGGCTCCTGCGGCGAGAGAGGCGACTAGGGCGACCAGGGCCCGTGCTAGAGGGGCTTCCCAGGCGAGGCAGAGGACCAGTTGGCCAGAGCTTTCCCAACGCGCTGACATGCTGGCAGCATACTGGAGATGCTTACCAGGTCCCAATTGAACCTGTAGCAGTCGGGCATGAGCTTGTCAGGGTTAGAGGTCCGATTAAGGTATGGACTACTCTTTACCACTTGCACCCTACATTTCATTTTAGATATATTCACTGCGAACACTGATCATCTAAATGCATTTGCAGGCATCCATTAAGTACACATGGAGCACTCTTGAGCTGATAGCCTCCTTGATGGGTATGATACAAATGAGGGAGACGTTGCTCGGTTTCCACGCCATCCCGGTAATTTCTTTAGTTTGCACTTTATGCTATCAAATTCCCACTAGTGCACTAACATTTCAACTATAGTCTATTCCAAACTGCACTGATACACTGCATTGGCACACTGCAGTCACACACTGTACTTACACACTATATCTGACTTCTGCATACACTTATTCTACATTGCACGCTTGTATCTGACACACACTACATACTATGCTTGCATCTAATACACACACTGAAACTGATATGTGACAACTGTCCTTTTCAGATCCTAGCTATACCAACTGCTCCAGTAGCGGGAGCACTAGTAGCGGCAGTACCTCCTGCAACAGTAGGGAGGAGAAGCGGAGACAGGAGTACCCGAGCCCGGAGCAGTCCTCCCGAGCCCATCTTAAGGGACGACGATGCTAAGACCAGTGGCTCGGAGGAAGCAGCGAGTCAGCACTCTGGGTCGTCTGAGAGCAGAGATGATGAGCCGACTCGGGTTCCGATAGTGGAGGCGACGATGTTGAGGAGGGTTCTATGGCCGAGAGTGGAGACGATGCCAGCTCTGGTTCAGGCTCAGAGACAAATTCAGACAGCGAAGCCAATGGAGATAATGCCCGAGAGTCTTCTCCTCCGAGGAAGAGGACGAAGAGGGCCTTCTGGGCATGAGGCGACTGGCACTGATTTTTTTGTACTTTTGCTTAGTTTCTTTTTGTTAGTAGCATTAGCACATTGTATAGCTTTATGAAGGTTTTTTTGTTTTAAAACTTGTACTTCTCTTTTGTAAAAAATTATGATCGGAATAAAACCTCGCAGTTTTTATGAAAAGGGTGATCATTTTTGCATCATGAGCACCATATTTGCATGAAATAAACATAGAATTGAAATGACCAAGTGCACTTGATTGAAACAAAATTCTTAATCGGGTAATGAACTGACCAGCAACCAAAATGCAAAACACAACATATAACTCGATAAACAAAACAAAACAACTCAAATATAACTCAACAAATTTGCTAAAACCAAAAAGACTCAATACAAGACTTTAAAACACACAAAGAGCATAACAAAACACATGCTTCTAGCACTGATACAGTACGTTTTTCCAGTTTCTTCCATCACGACCACCACAATCACCATCATCTTAGACCATCTAAACAAACTGAGCTCAAAAAACTAGTACATATACACATAGATACATACATACATACATACATATATACATTCATATAGACTAGTCTATACATACGTACGAGTAAAAAAAAAAAAATTTGCATAAACAGGATTGATATTTACCAGTACATATACAGTCCAAGTAAACAAAATAAAAAAACGAAACAATCCCCAAATCTTACAAAACCATAAAAATTAGTAAAATTATAGGTTTCTATTAAGCGAAATGAACTCAAAATCATACTGTACGAATTTTAGTTTCTTCAATCACGACCACCACAATCACCATCATCTCAGACCAGCTAAACAAATTGAGCTCAAGAAACCAATACATATACACATACGCATACACATACGTACATACATATATACTTGTACATTCATACGATTGAAGAAACAGAAAAGAAATTTACAGAAACAGGATTGAGACTCACCAGAACGAAGTTGTTTTCGCAGCCAGGCCTCTTCGGTGCTACATCGTCCTGGTGAACTATATCGCCGGCGTAAACAACCGGCGTAGAACAGAACAGTAAGAGAAGAAAAACGGCAGAGAGAGCTGAATTGGAGCCCATCATTACAATCCGAGGGTTTCTCTCTCTCTCTCTAGAGATCGAAGTGAATTAGGGTTTTAATTTCTCTCTGTCTGTCTGTCTGTCTGTCTGTCTGAGGACCAAAAAGCAGAGCAAAATGGAGTTGGAGATATAGGTATAGATATAGAGAGAGAGAAAGAGAGGAGAGAGAGAGAGAGAGAGATAGAGATATATCACCGTACATACATGTCTTTGAGGGTATGTCGTCATGAGAAGAACGCGGTGTTGTAACTGTTGATCTGGTTTTCATGACTTTTGTTTCTTCACTGATATTCACCACTCGCAGTCGTGGTTGCGTCTACTACACGCCCCACTCAAAAAGTGGTGGATGATGTGGAGCCTTTTTTTTTATTAGGGTAAATTACATATAAACCCCTTGAGGTTTGGCTAAATTATAGATGCTCCCCTGAGGTTTGAGAAATTACGAATTTCCCCCTTAATGCTATATTTGCTTAAGAAATTAGGGGGTAATTTGTTATGAAATATAAACCTCAGGGGGCAAATTGTTATAAAAATACAAACCTCAGGGGGCGGGATGTATTTGAAGCTATAGCAGCATAATATTTAAATCATGCATCCAATTATGAGCTTATTTGTACCATTATGGTTTATTATGATCGTGTTTTTACCATTACTGGATATTAGGAGAATAGTTCAACTGTAAAAAAGAAGAAGAATAGTTTAATAAATTTTCCATGGACATGGAATGCTAACATCAGAACAGAGGTGAACTCATGGTAGGGTTTTGATAGATAGCCTATATATATATATGTATGTTTCTTTGAAACAAAGTTTTGTTATGAACAAACCATTCATGTTAGATGATGGGAAGATTCAAAAATATATTTGCAAGAGGGAGAATCTGTTTTCTTATCTGAACATGGAGAGCACAGAGTAAAATCAAGAGAGAGCACTATAGGTCCCAAATACGGTTGCAACCGAACTACGTTGTTCACCTTTATTTTGAATTTGTTAAATGCTTACTTGATGTTGTGGGAGGTATCTCATGCAAGATAAAATATAGTTTGCAACTTTAGGCAACTCTTGCACTGTTTGATTGTCAATGATAAAATATGACAAGGCAGCAGAAGTGAGAAATTGTGATATCAAGGCAAGCCAATATCAGCACCCCAACTTTTATACGCTGCCAAATGGTGCACCTTCTGATCATCCTCTTCCTTCTATTGGTGAACTGAACAACCAATGTCAAGATAGGCATACTTCAGAAGAAAATGCATACTCCAATGCTATTTCCTCAGCTATTTCAACTTCTGACACATCTTTTATAAATTCCCTCTTCTAGTTGATGCTTGTGGCAATTTCATTTGTTTAATGTTTTCTTAGTATTATATGTTATTTATTTATTTTGATACTATACCTAAGTCTAAACAAGGGGGCCTTTTGTTCTCCAACTTGTTCTCTTTGATTGGATGCTAAAATACCCGTCAGAAGAGTGTATCAAGTGCAAATGTTTCTTACTGGATATTTCTTTTTCTGTGTACAGATTATTGGACATATCGGAAATAGGATTCAGCCAGTTAGATATGATGGCCAGCATCATCATTCTATCCAAGCAGAGCCTGCCTACTTCCAACCGAATTCCCAAAAATATAAGTAGTGTGATTTTACTTGGCTATCTCTGCTGCGGGTTTCTTCCTAGTGGTTATTTTTTGTGTTATGCAATAGGATCAAGAGATGTTTTAACTGTTTCATTGTCAATTGTTCATTGATTTTCTCAGGTAATGGTTGGACGATTGGGGTAGCTCATTTACATGCATCCATTTTCTCATGTAAGATATGATCATTTATGTGAAACTTAAAAAGATTGCATAACAGACTATATTATACCACTTTGAAATTTTTATTAATTAAACTAATGCAAAATAAAAGTAGCTGGGACTGCTATAAAATCTGCATTTGGGTGTTTCTCCTATGGTATGGTAAGCAAGCAAATCTGCTACTGCCTCATGCATTTGTATTTGTTGCTTTGTCCCATTTTGTGCACATCAATTTATGACTTCGCAATTCAAGGAAATGGATAGGCAAGTTCCTTTAATGGACGAGACTGACACTAAGATTTGAGAACACATCCAGTCCTGGTAATATTTGAAGCTACAATTATTCTTAAATTATTAATGGTGTATTTCTTCACATCCTACAGGTCGACAATGCGGCATCTGACCTTAAGAACATCAATGTGAGACTTAAGGATACTGTTAACCAGGTGATTGAGCTGCCACTGTATTTTCTGTAGTTTGCATCACTTTGTGTGTTGCAGAGAGAGAGAGAGAGAGAGAGAGAGAGAGAGAGAGATAGATTCAGCTATGCTATGTCGGGGATCTCTTTGCTGGATTTGACAGAAAGTTTTGATTTGTTTCAGCTGTGATCCAGTCGAAATTTCTGTATTGATATTATACTGTTGTGCATAATTCTTGGGATTGCTGCCTATCTATACAAGTAAGTTTCACTTTCTCAAAAAAATGGAGAGGAAATGTTTTATCTAATTCTTGGTAATAGCTAACATGCTTAATGGACTCTAGAAAATAATTTCATGCATGGGTTAAGTTATAGTTAGAAGCCAATAATTTAACTTATAAACTAAAGCTGAGTGCATGGTTATTCTGGTTTAGATCTTCTTCTTGGTTTATTTTTATGTTTTATGATTGGCAGAGACCGAGAGGATTGAAGGCCATGAGAAGCAGCATGGAGAGCGATTCAGAATGACAATGAAGGATGGATGGGGGCTGTAGACACCCCATTTTTGACTGCCCTTAAGACTTGGGCGTTACTAATGGTTTACTTGGTGGAGAAAGGTGTGCAGGGCAAAGGTTCAAATTCGTCAGCAATGAGAGAGTCAGATCCCAACTTCATACCCCTTTTGGACCAAAACAATCTTGATCAAAAGATTTTAGATCTTAAAATCCTCTCTTTCAAAATGTTTTGAAAATAAAATTCCTACGATGTTCCGACGCTCACATTTCGGTAAATGTTGCGCTTTTCGTTAAACCGAGCAGGGACAAGTTGGAGATGAATGAAAGAGAGATGGAATCTTTGAAAAATCTTTCAAAACACCTTTCTTAGGGGTTTGAAGTTGAAGAAAAGAGGAGAAGAGGGGAGAAGCCAAGTTGGAGAAGAAGATAGGCAAGAATTGCTAAGAGAGGGACGAGCAGTCCTTGCTAAATCAAGCTTATTTGTCTATACACTTTGATTTAAGCTATGAGGCCACCACCGTTGGAAAGAAGACTTCCGGGGCTTCATTTTTCATTCAAGAATCTCTTAAATCCGAGACCGGAGGGGGGAGATATGATTGGTTGAAGTTGGGCATCATCCCGGTTGGACCGAAACTGAGCAGCCTTCACTAAAACAAGTATAACTTTTTTCACAGTTGGAATTTTGATGCAAGGCTGGTGCCATTGGAAAGCTTACTTCCGGGCTTCAATTTGGACATAAGATTGACCTGAAAAGGAGTTCATATGAAGAAGTTATGTCCGTTTGAAGTTGGACCTGCAGAGCAGATTTTTTCTGCCGGCCGGCCAAACATTATGCCGACCGGCCAAATAGATGGCCGACCGGCCAGAACAGATGGCCGACCGGCCAAATAGATTGTCGACCGGCAGGTTAAAGTAGCCGACCGCCTTTTTTGCTAGCCGACGACCTTCCGGAGCATTCTGGAGATAGTCATATTTTGAGGTCCTTTTCATGTTTGATTAAGGACCTTTTGCTGTTTGATATCTCCTCCCTTCACTTGCTTCTTTAACGCTCTTTTAGGCCTATTTTTGCGCGGTATTTTAGGCTTACTTGTGAGCTATTTTGGACTTAGTCGTAAACTACAAAGTGTCTTGTTTTGAGCCCCTCTTCAACTTTGTTGAAGGGCTCTCGGTCATTTGGATCCAGCAGCTACCACTTGCCTTTATATCTCACTTTTTGGCCTTTTTGGAGGGAAACTTGGATTGTTTTCCCTCCATTTTTTTTCCCTCCCTGTTTTCCCCCTCTTTTTCCACCCCTTTTGCCTATATATACAGCACCCCAGGTCTGTATTAAGGGTTAGAAAAAAACTGTTTGGAGCTCATATATTGTATCTCTCTCTCTCTATAATTCTAAGCTTCAAAATCCTTAAGAGTTCCTACACCCATTTCTTCACCACCACCAAGCACCACCACCACTACTCCATTCCAACAGATAGGAGTGGCTTTCCAGCAGCTAAGAGGTAGCATTTTTCAGTCCTAGAGGCAACAAATGTTGGGTCTTCAAGGGTGAGCACTCTTCTCCCTCTTTCTAGCTCATTTTTTGCCTCATTTTTTAGCCTCTTTGCTTGCTGTTTTGATCTCCGACCAAAACATAAAATGCCATTTTTTTGAGCTATATTCCATGTTTCATTAAGGGCTTATTACAGTTTGAAGCTTATTTTTGGCACTTCCTTCATTACCCCTTTGTATGCCATTATTTTGCATGATTCTTTTAGCCTGTGTGTGATCAGTTTTCGAGCCTGATGTAAACTGAAAATAGGCTTATTTTGAGCCCTTCTTCAACATTGAAGAAGGGCTCACCACTGTTTGGGACCTCCATGTTATACTTGCCTTTATATTCTCTTTTTGGTCCCATTTTTGCATGCCTTGGCAGCCCCTGATGTTGCTGTTTTTGGGCTGAGGTCCGAACTCAAAACAGCCTCATTTTGACCCATTCTTCATGTTTCATTAAGGGTCTTTGGCTGTTTGATGAATGTTTTGTATACTTGCTTCTTTGGCCACCTTTTGGCCCATTTCTTGCATAAGAGCTTAGCCATACCTATGTTTGTTTTTGGGGTTTTTACAGTTCTGTAAATGTGCATATTTTGGCCCCGTCTTCAATGTTGTTGAAGGGCCCTAACCTGTTTGGAGTCAGCAGCTGTGAGTTGCTTCATAATCTCATATTTAGGGCAATTTTTGCATACTTGTTTTGCCCTATTTATGTTTGCTGTTTGGCCATGCTTTGAACTGGAAAAATGCTTATTTTGGGGCTGCCTTGCTACTGTCTATTCATTGCATGTCCATATTGTGCATGTTTGGTATAGCTATAGGCCATTTCGGATGCCAAAATTCATGTTTCGAGACTATTCCACGCATCGAGTGTACTTTCGCCTCATTTCGGGGCTGTTTTCCCCCACATTTCAGTGCTGAAATCCCATTAGCATGTTTGCATATTATTTTCCATGCCATTGCCTCAATTTGCGTGCCC